CTTTAATCCCAGCACTCAGGAGGCAGAGGCAGGCTGAAGAAAATCTGAAGAGCAAACAGAGACATTGCTTACGTGAGACAGAACGTTCAGGGGAGACCCCTGCCAATGCTACATCAGCTAATGAAAAGGTGTACTGTCTGGAGATGAAATATAACCATTCTTTCATTCTACTACTTGGGAGACTGAGGCAGGAGGATCAAAAGTTCACAGGCAGCTCAGATTATACAGTGAACTAAGGCCAGCCAAGACTCTTCAGTGAGACCCTGGAACAAAATAAGCCTGGTGTTATAATGTACTCCTTTAAAGGCAGTCCTCTGGGGGGCGCGGCCTAGTTTACATTAAAAACAAACTCAAGCTTAGTGTTGAACACCTTAATCCAGCTAGCACTTGGGAGGCTGAAGCAGAAGAACTGAAACTGAGGACAACTGTAGCTACATAGGAAGTTCTGGGCTAGCCTGGGCTAGATAGTGAGCCCCATCTCTACACACTAACAAGTCTCAGCAGTTAAGAGCACTTACTGCTCTTGCAGAGGACCTGGGTTTAGATGCCAGCACCAACAAGCTAACCAACTAAGAATTCAGCCTGCCTTAGCAGGGCAAAAGAACCTTAGTGGAAACAGAGCTAAGAACCCCAATACAGTCAATCCAGGAGACTTAGCCGCTGTAGTTAATTCATGGTGGATGTTCTTCCTCCAGAGTAGAAGGCAGGTATTGAATCAGATAGGCCAGGCAAAGTATACAACTGTATTAGACAAGGCAGTTTTGATATGGGCAGTCATCTGTTGCTACTCCCTAGTACAGCACAACAGCAACACCAGTCACTTCATAGGATACCAGGTACGTTCACCCTGGTGGGAAGGAAAATCCAGCATGATGAAGCAGAATAGCATTTGTATATATGTTTCACCAAGGTCAATTGCTGGTGTTGGGGGAAAAAAAAAAATCACAACTTGTGATTCATGAGTTCAAATAGTGCTTACAATTGAAATAAGCATGTTTTGCTTTTATTTTCTTGTGTTTGAAGTACTGGGGGCCAATCTCAGGGGTTTTCACTCTACCCTTGGGCTAAACTACAAGCCCTAAGCATTTGGTTTTAAACAAGTAAGATTACAAGGCCTGGAGAGATGCCCAGCAGTAAGAACACCGGCAGAGTGCCTCGGATTCTATCCCCAGCAACCATTCTGAGGACAACTATCTGTAACTTCAGGTCTAGGGGAACCCTACGCCCTCTTCTGGCATCCATGGGCACTGCAGGCACAAGTATACATAGAAAATAAAATGAATATATAAAAACAGATTGTCACAAAACAATTTATTTGGCCAAGTTACATAATATGAAAATAAGACTGGCAAAATCCTCAAAAATTAAGAAATAATATGAAATCAAAATAATAAATACTTATGGGGACTTTTGCTATTGTTGTTTTCTTTCTTTCTTTCTTTCTTTCTTTCTTTCTTTCTTTCTCTCTTTCTTTCCTTATTTATTATGTATACAGTATGCCTGTGTGTCAGAAAAGGGCACCAGATCTCATTACAGATGGTTGTGAGCCACCATGTGGTTGCTGGGAATTGAACTCAGGACCTCTGGAAGAGCAGCCAGTGCTCTTAA